AATGTAGCATCGTGCTACAGATGGCGTTTACTGCGCCATTTGCAGTATTTTCTAAAACGCAGTTTTAGATGACGTTACAAACAACAGTAAGTAATTTGAAAACTAGAGGAGATGGGTGTAAGGAACCAGGGTACCATTCGAAAGACAATAAAATTCTGTATAAGGCGATGAAAATCTATACAGGATGTTCTAGTGGAAAAAATTGAATTACGATTGTTTGATCTTGAACCAAATCTGCCACTAAATATCTAACACCCTGTACGTAATTAACCCATTTTGAAAGTATGGATGGAAAGCCTGAGGGTATAGCTGCCGTTTCTAAGAATATTGTTCATCCAGCTTTCTTACTGTAAAACAGGCATGTTCTTTCACAACCTACTGCTCTGTGATACTTTTTTAAAAAAAATTACTATCTCGAAAACGGTAAATTTTAGAAGTAGAAATGGATTTTAAAAGTCTGGCTAAGTAGAATTCAAAACCGTCATAATATTTAGGGTGTTCCATTTAAAATAACGAAGTTGGTGTCAACTTCCGGTATAACCGGAAGTGCTACATAGATGTCGTTATTTTAATTGAGGAGAGCATACTCAATAACGCTATTGTCCAAATTTTCAATATTCGAATCGAAGTAGTTTCCGAAATATTCTAATGGGTGGCCACCGTGAGACACCCTGTACAATATAAAATGTATAGAAGCATGCAAGTACATATCTAAAAACAATTATGTTTTCAAAAACAAAAAACGATTTTTTGAAAATCAAGCTACCAACAACAAATTTTAACCAAAAACCGCAATATAGAGTTATTTTTTAGTATCTGCAAATAGAGGTAACAACTAAAAATATTAAAAAAAAACAATTAAAAATAATCTAACAGTTAAAAGAACAACAGATACCTAATCCACATAAACATTTTCAGATTAAGATGAATTTCTTACTTTTACAATATGACATTGATGACCTTCCTAAAAATTCATTTAGAATTTATGCGAAATCAATTTGCGTATAATTAAAAGATTATATTTTTACAATTAGAGCGAAAAAAATCGCAAGCCTTGGTTTAAACACAAAACGCTGACGTAAACGAGATAAGAGGCAAATGATAAAACCAATCCTCAACATAACATGTGATATAACCTATTTTTTTATAACAATAATTTTCAAATCAGATGTGTTTATAAGTTTATCTGTAATTTTTTAGCAACAACAAATTAATGTAGATACGAAATATTTACTTTCTGGTATTTAAAATTGGTTTTATTTGCACTTATACTTAATTAATAAATTAACTGTCGCATGTGTTCGTCATCAAACAGAACACAGATAACATTCTACAAAGCTTTACAGTAGTCTAGACTCTAGATTGTTAAATTTGAAATAATGACTGATGATCTTGATTTAATCGTGAGCACAATATTTATGTGTATTAACAAGAGTAATATCCTTTTCATTTTTTTAAGTATTATGTGTTCTGCTTTATGATTTAGTTAGTTTCCTAAATAAATAGGATTTTAAATAGATTTCCTGATCCGACGGGACTTGAACATTGACGAAACTTTTGTAAAAACTAGAGTGGGTGGATCGGCTTCCGAGTTTCGATGATTTAGGGAGCCGGACCATAGGTTCAACCATAATGGTGGGGTTTTTAAAGAGAACCCAGACTAAGACAAGTCCCTGGAAAAGGGAGCAGCTCTTTCAGTACTCAGGGTGGCAGAGATCACAGGATGGGTATGGCACTTTGATGCACAATACTGCGATGTAGAAGGCAACGGGAAACCACCAAACGAGTAAAACGTTCAACTACAGAAATTAAATGATGACGTCCTCTGGGGTAAAGCATTCCGGACGTAAACTAGTCCCCCATTCGGATGTCCGGGCGGGGACTACCTCGGGGAATGTCATTAATAAGTGCACCCCTAGATAGGAGCAACATTTCACGAGTCGGAGCGTGGGATGTTAGGACAATGAGGCAATGATGAGGATACTGTGGATAAAGAAAGCTACAAATGAAGAGGTATTAGAAAGAATCCAACAGAGAATACAATAAGAAACAGGCGAGATAGGTTAGTAGGACACTTTCTCAAGCATGAAGGTCTAATCAGAGACATTAGAGGCAGAAACGGAAGTCAGGAGGGGTAGAGGTAGACTTAGATTAAATAACTGTTCGGAAATAGTTAAAGATGTGGGTTGTTCTAGTTTTAGAGAAATGCGAAGATTAGCTTAGGATAGGAAAGAGTGGAGGTACGTGTCCAACCAGTCTAGGGACTGACGACCTTATGATGATGAAATCGATTTCAAAAATATGAAATTTATTTCGACACTTCTTTTAAATCCCTGAATTAATCTACTTAATCGTTATACTTAACAATAGTATAATAAGAACCCTTGCTAGTGAGATTAAAGCATGCTTGCTCAAAGCTGTCTTCGCACAATGACGATTATTTAATTGTATTGATCAGCCTTCAATAGAGTGTAATCAGAAAAGAAAACTGTAGTATAAAAATGTCTATTTCAAAGCACTCTCAAAAATATGGCCTAAAGGTTTAGACCTTTGCTTGGCATTCGGGAGAACACCGGCACGATTACGGGCCTGTCTGCCCTGGTCCAAGTTTTCTGAGATTTCTTTAAATGGTGAAGCAGTAATATTCCACAGATAACCTTTCACTTTCTTCTGACCTCATCCTTCACACCCCGACCACCACCCAGCCATCTGACCTCATCATTCACACCCCGACCATCACCCACCCATTCCCACTATTCCTGAAGTTACGCTGAGGAGGCCTTCCGCCCCTCTGTCCAGCGTAGTCTGAAGGTATTGTCCGTCCTCAAGCATTGGTAGCTGGTAGGAATGAAACACCCAAGATTTTTTTTTGCTTTCAATAATATGTCAAAACTGTCAACACTCATAAGAGAGGTTTAGGACATTGTTTAACATTCGGGGGAAAACTGGTTCGATTCCTGGCCCATCCACTCCAAGTTTTTCTGTGGTTTCCTTGGGTCTTTTAGGGATATGTTGGGACAATGATATTCCACAGGTAATCTTTCACTCTCTTCAGTCTTCACTTCATCTGTTTCATCTTTTTCAGCCCAGCCACTATCCACCCAATTCTAACATGAGGGTGAAGGGGGCTTTCCGTCATATTCTCCTGCGTAGTCCAGAAGGAATGTCCGCCCACCAGCATTAGTAGTTGATGAGAATGAAACACCCAAAAAATTTTTATGGTGCAAATTTGACAGTGTTCATGCTCCTAAAGAACTACCTACTTATATTAAAAATCCTATTTCGCTTTTAGTTCAACTACTTACTCTCCACAATCTTGAGTAGCACATTCTTTATTGTAAGTGTAATAACTGATAAGAAAATTGACAAAGGAAGTCATTAGCATTTCCCAATTGTTTTCATAAAAAGAAAAAAATTGTTGTAATAGTTGGATAGGTAAGTGGGTATGCAGTCTAAAATCTTAGTCATGACCTTAAAACTATAAAATTGGTCTGCTAAAAATAGGTCTACTTAAAATGGTAGCATTTCCGGCTACCTATACCGGTTATTTTTAGAAGTACATACTTACAGTAACCGCAATTAAAAATAAATGTTAAGACAAGAGTCTATTAATACGAAGTATAATTCCACTTCCGCCCAAATAACAAGTTTCTTTTGTTGTGCGTGGTGTTTCAGAGTGTTATAGCAGATTATAAAAAAAGAAACTCGTCCCAGTGTTTGTTGTAGGTGAAGACGGAGGCATGGACATAGAGGCTTAATTTAAAATTGAAAATGATAATTGTGTGAATAATGGGTGCTACCAGTAAGGAGAATTCGTGGAGGGAGAAGGAATCACCTTATAAAATATTAGAAGTGTATTTAGGTAAGGACGTAAAATAGAGACCCAACGGATGGAGGTGAAAAATCGAAAATTTGAATAACAAACGTAACCTAACAACCCTCAGTTAGCCTAATCTGAGTGGGAACGTCGAACATATTAAACAATTACCGATAAAATCCTTGTTTTCAATGTTCTCTATTACATTAGCAACCCACATACGTAGCAACGTTTGTGTAGCCTTTCCATAATTTTCATCACACTAAGTTGATACCCCTCCGGCGATCCATAGTCATGAATGTTCAGGATAACAATTGTTTTAGTGTGCATTATCTATCAAAATCGATGGGGCTCATTAACAAGCAATGAAGCTTTTTGTTATTTTTCTGTGTTTGTAATGGAAAAAAAAATAAGACGCTTGCTGGGCCAGGTGCATTATCTATCAAAATCGATGGGGCTCATTAATAAGCAATGAAGCTTTTTGTTATTTTTCTGTGTTTGTAATGGAAAAAAAAATAAGACGCTTGCTGGGCCAGGTGCATTATCTATCAAAATCGATGGGGCTCATTAATAAGCAATGAAGCTTTTTGTTATTTTTCTGTATTTGTAATGGAAAAAAAAATAAGACGCTTGCTGGGCCAGGTGCATCCAAAGCCAGGTGGTATACGTGTCTCCACTGAAGTGTTATAGTTCCCCAACGGGTACCGATACTGATGAATTTAATTTCAAGTGAAATTCGCTACGCATAGGTATGTAAAATAGGTAAACACTTAAAAATGTTTCGAGAAAGCACCTCCTTGTGATAGATCCAATAAATGGTAAAACAATTTACTTGTTTTCTGCTTACACAAATGACAACCTCAAGGAATTCCTTACGTTCAAATACTTATTTATGACCATTTAATTGAGAAATGTATTACTTATTTTTTATAGGTAGGTAGAAAATTAGTTTTTCATAATCTTCCTTCAGTAGGTAAATGTTTACATTTGCACGTGCCTACGTAGGCATCATATTTTTAAAATAAGGAAACCGAACTGTGACGCTCGGCTTTCGGCAAATACCTACAGGAAGATAAGAAACCATGCGCAATCCATTAGAAGATGAACATATATAGGTTAAGGTTACTACCCACGGATTAAGCATATTTTGGGAAAATTTACAAACTTGATGAATGAAACGTACCTCAGTTTTAGTTATTCTATGCCTGGCGAGTTTAACAACGGCAAAATTCCCTTTTCCTATAGTTCTTTCAATATCATAGAAGCCTACTCTAATGGCAGTCTTGGAAATCCTTTCACGATCACCCATTTTAATATTTTATACTAACTGTTTTACTATGTACTAAATAATACCTATGCTAACAACAAAATCACTTCACATTATACCCTAGAGTCCGGTCTACACTGTTCCCGATAAACACACACTCACAAGTAGTTATGATCCCCCGAGGTCCTACTACAAACAGTTGTCAAAGTTAGGCCGGCGCATACGACAGTCGAACACCGTCATGTACCCCGAACCGCGACCGTCTGCTACTGTGAGACTGCGACAGCCATGACTAGCTGGATGGAAGCTACGCTAAGTTGCGCACGAGCGATTATCGCCCTCCCAAAGTACAACAATGAGTCGATGACGCTCTCACCCACTACCTATAAAACCCAAATGCACCTGATTACGTAAAATCTTATAATATGGGGAATTGCACTGTCGCCAGTAACCAGTAGAAGTTTCATCTATAACTCAATATATAGTAGGACAGTCGTCAACTAGTCAGAAAAGATGGCATTCGGCTCATCCGTCGAGGTTCTTACTCCTCTAGCCCATTGTAATCACTGTCACTATGGTCACACTCTGAAATGACCGATCAGGCGGGAAGATTTATCAATCTCTAGTTGGATGCTCGAGGGGGGTCCTTCCCAGTCCGATAACTTTCACTACAATATTGGTAAGTCATCCTGATTCGTGGGAGGCCCCTTTGCAATTAGAGGAGAACGTCGTGAGATTCGTCTGCCAGATACAAGGGTTCGATATTATGCACCTGCAAAGAGCGGCATTACCCAGAGGTTTAGAGCATTGCTTAGCATTCAGGAAGACACCGGTTTGATACCCGCTCCGTCTGCCCCCAGGTCCCAGATTTGTATTCAATTATTTAGGTAACTGCTGGGGCAGTAATATTCCACAGACAGTTTTCACTTTCTTCTGTCTTCATTTCGTCCGTCTCCTCTTTCTCACCCCAACCACCACCCACCCATTAACACGATTCCTAAAAAGAGGCTGAAGAGGACTTTCCATCCTACCTTCCAGCGTAGTCCGGAGGGACTGCCTGCCCACCAGCATTAGTAGCAACACCAAAAAAATTACAGTTTTTTCACTCTAAGCTTACACTACACACCTGGCAACATGACCATCGCGTATCGTTAACCTCGGATATTAATACCTAGCACCGTATCGACTCCGACCCCTGCATAGATGTACAATACGTATAAACATTCTGTGTTCTGCAGCTCCACAGGTTTAGACTATTGCTCAGCATTCGGTGCGATTCCAGATCCGTCTGCCTTGGTCCAAGTTTTTCTGTGGTTTCTTTGGGTCACTTAGGCAAATGCTGGGGCAGTAATATTTCACAGATAATCTTTCACTTTCTTCTGTCTTTATTTCGTCCGTCTCATCTTTCTCAACCCAACAGCCACTCACCTCACTTATTCCCACAATTCCTGAAAGAAACCTGAAGAGGGCCTTCAAACCTACTCTTCGGAATAGTCACGAGGGACTGCTCCTTCACCAATAGTAGTAACTGGTGGGAATGACACTCAAAAGTTTTTAAGTTTTCAGCCCCACAATTCTTATGATGCACAAACTCCCATTAGTTAAGCCTCTGCAAGTTTGGAAGTCTGCTATTGAAAGAATTTAATTCCAATTCATCATCATCATAAGGTCATCAGTCCTAAGACTGGTTGGACACGTACCTCCACTCTTTCCTATCCTGAGCTAAACTTCGCATTTCCCTAAAACATGTCTGCAGCAAAGACAGAACTAAAACAGACCTATATCTTTATCCACCTGATGTTTCGATAGGATTGAAATGAATTTTCTAAGGTTTCTTAACGAAACCAAACCGTTTTAACCTGGAAAACTACAAGATATGTGGTTGCTTTATCTTCCATTTCATTATCCATCTGCAACAAAAGAAATATTATATAAACATAGACCTCTATAAATAGAAAGAATTATTATCAAGTGACGCTGTTTATGGAAGTAAAAGAAGTCGTAGTTTTAATTTTAGATAAATACAATGAGTATGTCAGGTCAATTAACAAGTTCCACTGGATTGTCTCAGTCCTGTAATTCATTTTGCCATTTTAGGAGGATAATTGAACAGTTCTACAGTCTTAGAAATGGTAAAATATTAGGCATATCTGAGGAATGAGAAAATCAAAACCTTCGAGGCATACTTTATTGTTAATACAACCAATGATGAAACCGACGGTTTTTCCAACCCCATATTATAAGCTTCGTTCCGAAAAGCACATTCACAGAATTACTCTTTGAAGTCTATGTAAATATGAAACATAAGATTATCACAACATAATAACAATTAATACATTCATGTACATACATATTTCAAAGAATAATATATAAATAGATTTCAGTTTTGGCACCTCTCCCTTTCTCTCATTAAATAACTAAAGAGAAAAGATTTTTATTTTTATATTTACGTTATTACTACCAAGACTTATCAAAATTAAACACTCAAAGAAATGTAAACACTGTACTACGTGATACATATGTTTATTTGTGCATTTCCACATTATCCGCCTCCAACGTCACTAGCACGTCAGAACTTCGTGACTGATAATAGCGCTAATTTGTCTGCAAATGATAGAAGCACAATCTTAGGATTAGAATCTCTAGGGAGATTCCTAGCAGTACATGCACGTGAACTGGTAATCATCCAACCACAAAAAGAATAAATGAGCTGCAAATTGAGCAACAACTCACAATGGATTTAGGAAATTGAATTGATGAATACTCTACTGCGAGGATATTTATTAAACAAATGTGAATTTTATTTCATTTTAGTCTGTAATTTCTCAAATTGAGAGACATTAAACCTCTTTAACGCACATGTATGTTTGTAAGCAGTGATCGTTATTCATATACGTATAAGGGGCTTTAGGCCTTAGCTAGAAGGTAGTGAAAGGGAGGGGGAGGTGTGGTAAAAAATGAAAGGTGAAAAATTTCATCATTAGTAAACTTTTTTCTTTCCGGAGGATTTGTCAAGAGCGGAAATTGAATTCAATTCAAAAAACTAGTATTTTAGGAGGTGAATATTCTATTCCTTGTTTCTCGATGGTTTCTCAATAAAAGGTATTCATCAGTAATGTTCATTCGAATTTTTTTTTACATTTCAAAAATAAAAATATAAAATAAAAAATATATACTTGCAATATCTTGTATACCATTACGGTAGATATGCTATTGGTCGAATGACAATTTTAAATAATACTCAATATAATGGAACAATGAGGCAGTTCACTTTGTATATAACTTTTATTAACTTGGAACCCAAAATTATAATAAACTACATATGTGTTGTGACTTACGAAATCAGTAGGATGGTTACTATAAGTAAAAAGACTTCCAAATCGTTACTTGTGGAAGCCTAATCTCCAAAACAACTTGTGGTAAAACAGACCAGAGCTTGGGCCATGATCTACCAACTACCTTAAACGCTCGCTCAAGCCCGACTAAGTCTCGTATACCCTTCGTCTACCCCTTTACTCCTTGTGGGTACTTTGTTTCGCAACAGCCACTCCTCCTAAATAAACATGCCGCCACACACGTGCAAAAACACCTCGCGTATACATATATTCATATATGATTGTCACAAGCCTCTTTTTACTTTTGCCGTTGATCATTTTTTTATAAGAACTTAGGGTTTCCACTTTTGTTTTGAGGTATAGACTATAGAACCTAAGAGATGTATTGAAATCCCAAACAGAGAAAAAATTCATGTCATATCGAAAAAGGTGAAACAGAAGAACGTGTAGTAATGGTGTCAAATATTAATATGTGATGATTAAAATATAGTGGTAATAAATTAAATATCTGTTCGACTTAATGCGTATTTCATTCTTGTATATCGTTAAAATATCTCTCATTCGATTTGACCAGCATCATGACCTGTTTTTGAATTAATAGCCAGTGTGTTAAAGTGAAAGTAGTAACACAGAGAAACATTTTGAAATGAACCATAAGCATTCTTCATTTCGCCCTATAAGGGCATCTTTAGGTGTACCTTGAGGTATATTCTTTTGAATGAGGAAATCAGTCAAGTTTTTTGGTTGGTAATAAAGTTTTTAATTTAGTCAAAAATTGACAGCCTACAATTGTTAGTTTTTTCAAAGGTAGATTGTTTTGTTAGTAGTTATTGGTCTCGAAATTTTGCGGTTGTGACTTTACTGGTACATGTTACGGTACAACGTGTAAGTTTAACACCTGCAGCATGATCTAATACCTCAAACCTCAAAGTATTAACAAAACAATCTAAATAAAAAAAAAGCAACCCACATCCAAACGATTTGCGAACAGTAATCTAATCTAGGTCTACCTCTAATCCTCTTAACTCCTCTTTCTGCCTCTAATATGTCTCTGACTAAAGCTTCATGCCTGAGAAGGTGTCCTACCAACCTTTTTCGCCTATTTTTTATTGACTTCCATACAGTCCTCTGTTACTCTATTTTTTTTTATTTCTAACCTTCTCTATTCACGATATACTCATCATTCGCCTGTAACATCACATTTCAAACGGTTTCAACTTCTTTCTTTTCTGTCGCGTCCACCGTCCATGTTTTGCACCCGTACAACGCCGCGCTCCAAACATACACCTTTAACGATCTTTTTCGAATTTCAAAATTAATCGTTCGCGAGCATAGAAGGGACTTCCTTTTATTGAAAGCGATTCGACCCTGTGCTGTCCTCTGTTTTATATTCCTACTACTCCTTCCGTCCTAATTTATCTGACTTCTTAGATACCTAAAATCAGCCACTTCTTCTAATATTTTGTCTCCTATCTTTATATTCGCTCTTTCTCTACTTTTTCTTCTTTTGCATACCAGTATTTTTGTTTTACTTTTATTTATTTTATAATTTGAGTTATCTTGCATATGCCGTGTGGACCTAGGGTGTCAACAAATAATTAGATTAGACCTTGCAAATAATCCTGTTTTAAATCTCGATACATTGTACCATCCTGATAATATTTCAGCTAATAATTTCAGAAATTAATTAATTCTATATTTTTTCATCCAATGAATTACTAATTACTATTTCACCTACGTAATTACAATATCACTTATGATGCAATTATTTGGTATTGTGAACTTTTCGTGGCGTTGTCTAAATCTGTCACCCTCGGCAATTTATTCTTCAATCTATTGGCAATACTGCTATTTATTTTAAATTGAACAACATATATGTATGCATATTTGTAATGGAATGGATCTTTAGTTTACAAAATTCAATTTATTTTCCAATTTACTCAAATAACTATGTACCTACTCATGTTGTTTTACTACGAATATTAGCTGTTTAAGTTTAAAGTTGAAATTTACATCAATTCATTTAATTAAATTCCAAATGAATCATTAGCACTCTTTTTCTTTATTTTTAAAATTCAGGATACCTAATAATAACATAGTCAGTTTTCTTGAAAAATGAAAAATATTCGACTAGTGATCTCTAATTATTAGCAATTCAAAATTTTTTACATGATAAAAGTTTATAAAAACGAGTTAAGTAAGAACTTCAAACATTTTTTTCTTATCAT